TCCTCATGCCGGGACCCTTCGGATGGTGACCCCCAACCAAAAGATTATTTTCGCTGCTACTTCATCATTGTCATTTTGCTACTGTGATGAATCGGGTGGCCCCTGTGAAAGGGTCCTTCGACCCCCAAAGGGGTTGCGACCCACAGGTTGAGAACCCCTGCTCTAGGGGAAGGACCCGGGCTTTGCTCACGTTCTTTCTACTTCTCCGTGGCTTAGGCGGGTCTCTGCGAGGTGGGAGAACAATTACCTTGAAGACCTTCTTGGCCCAGGTCCTGAAGGCCTCTTCCTGCCCACAGAGCTCGTCCCCCTCCCCCATCTTCAGGATCCTTTCCCCACCAAGCTCCTCCAAGAGGGTGTCCACCGCGTGTCCGAAGGCGCAGAAGTGGGGGTACGCCCTCGAGCCAAGGCCGAACACCGAGAACCTGCCAACAGGACAACAAAAGGTCAAGGTCTAAGCCGGGGAGCGCGGAAGTAGGGGCTCTGTCTCCATCAGGCTCAAGTCCCGCCAGCCAGTCGCAGGCAGGGAATCCCAAGCCCAGCCTCCCTTTCTTTGGCAGCTGCGAGGGGAATCCCCAGTTAGCAACCAGTCCTGGGCGGGAACATTGCTGCTGCCACCACACCGCCACCGCCACCACACCGCCACGACAGCACGATGGCTGTCGATTTGACTGCAGCTCCTGGCCACTCCACGGGTATCCCTCCAAGTAGACACTGCATGCTATAGGGTTCTCAGGATAATAATATCCCTTAAAAGTGTTCACGTCTGGAGAGAGAGAGGCCTTCTGAATGTTAGAAAACTTTCACTCTGCTAACCTCAGTCAGCCTAGGAGAATTAATTCACAGTGGAGAGAGAGGCCTTATGCATGTAAAGAATGGAAGAAAACTTTGACCCAATCTTGTACTCTCATTCGCTATATGAAAATGCATCATGGAAAGAGGCTTTAGAAATATAAGGAATGTGGAAAAACCTTTAGTAAGTCCTCACACTTAAATCAACATATGAGACTTCA